TGCACGAACGAAGCACTCGGTAACCTGATTCAACATTGCATTCCATGACACAAACGGACTGTACTCTTTCACGTCAGGCGGAGTGAGTTGCGAGTCTCAAGCGGGGTCGCGGATTGCGGATTGCGGCAAAAGAATTTTGTCTTTTTACACCTGGTTATGGACGTTTTACATAGTTGTTGCAGCTGTGATTACAGTGACTCGTCAGAGTCAGAGGATTGCCAAGGAGAGGACATCGAAGGCGTTGAATACTCTGATCGATCCGTTGATGGGTCCCAGTTTGGAGAGTCACTACAAGGTTTCTTCGACGATCATGATTCCGCCAGCAGCATGCAAAGGCCAAGCTTCTACAGGGCACTCGACAACGAGGACAGATTAAGCCCGGTCAAGGTTGCCCTTGGGCCCATTGGCAAGAGGAACAGGCCTCTAGTGAGTCGCATATACCGTCCCGAATCGATGATTGGCTCGATGAATTCCGTTTCCAGCATTCAATCTCAGATCGGCTTTCTCTTTGAATTGCTCTTGGGTCGAAGTGGTGCCTGCTGCTGTGACGCCACTCATGGGCTTTCTCTGCTGTACAGAACGAGTCACTTACCTTTCTAGATGCTATTTGGTCTACTGGCAGCTGTTTCAGAAGCTGGGTCTTTGACATTCTCATACCACAGTCAGCAAGACAACACTTCATGACTGGATGGCAAAAAGTTGATGCTATCAACCTTTTCTCTGCGCCTTAGTTGATTTGATTTTACTGAGGTCATGGAGTCTCTTGCATTGCTGAGGCGCAAACTTAAGGTGTCGAACAACCCCTTCAATCCCGTCGCAAATGCGTGATTGAGAATGCGTGATTGATCAATCATTGGCGCTGATCACCGGTGAGCTTTTTCACGCGCTCTAAATCGGTTTGTTGCGTCCTTTTCTCTCAGTCACCCGAACGGGACGATCAGTGCGGCTCAGAGTCAAATGATGATCCGCTTGCGGAGGACGTTGGTGGGGTCGTACCAACAGGCCAAGAGCTTGAGATAAAGCGTCGTCGCAAGAATCAGAGGAGGAGACTGCATCCACACTGCAATCACTTAAGCAGGTAAGCCGCTCGTTGGTCTGAAACGGGTAAGCTTTTGCGCCTTGCAAAATCCTTAGAAAGATAGGCTCCTTTTTCCGACAATCATATGCTGCTTATCACAAATCGTAGAATGAGGGTATTGATGCATAGCAGGCCTAGGTTGACCCGAATTTTGCCGTTTTGCGTCATCTTCTCGAAGAGTGAACTTGTATCAACAGTGTATACCTGTTGCACTCGCCTGATCCATCCCATGTTGTGCAGGGGCAAGGCGCTCCGAAGCAGATTGCGGCACGTGCTCAGGTTGGATGTCCAGTGGAGATTTGTAGTCCGATTGAGCAAGCCCAGGTATTATCATTGACAAGCTGCAAAGCAATTGAAATGTAGAAAGTGAGGAGTGGTCTGCCGCAATAATCCGCTGAGAGATCCGCTAGAACGGATGCGGCTCCATTGTGTAAACGTATGGTACTGCCGCATTGCATGTTGAAGTCGCTTGCAATACTTGTACATATTTGACCCATGTTGCAACCACTGCAGCTTAGCCACCTGTTTACTCCCTTTGTACTATCCTCGGCACTCGGCAAATCTATATGCATTTCTAGCCCGTTTCATCAGAATCTTGTGATGAATCAACGCTGTCTTTGAAACATGCGCTCGTAATCTTCTCAAGATGTTAGCCGCTTTCCGATCCTACAATCAAAGCAAAGGGTTGATTTCTCAGCCAAGATCTTGTCGAAATAAGAGATGCGAGTCGAAGCGGAAGCCGAAATTGAGCTTGTGGATGCCGA